TTGGGGGAAAAAATTGAGAGGTAAGACATCTGTGGGCCACAGGTATGGTTTATTATTTGTTGATGAAGATGTGCATATATTCTCAACTGGGCTAGACTGAGGTGTATATCATGCTGGGTAAAGTCTCTTTACAATCTAAACGATATACAGCAATTAAATGTATAAATAATAATTAAAAATAATAAATTTTAAAACCTATTTTAACAATATCTACTTGTTAGAAAAGATTATCCACACAGCAGCTACATTCTACAAACAAACTACTTGGCAGACAAGAATAGGAAAAGAGAAGAAAAACTGAGTATGCTGACCTCTGAATTCCACCCTCTTCCCAAAAAAGGACTCCTATAAGTTAGTGTTGTAATTACAACTTTCTAAAGAAAAAAGGGAACAAGGGAGAAATGTAAGTGTTGATAATTTAAGAGCTAAAAATAACACTTAAAGAAAAAAAAAGTTAGATGTTTAGGGCACAGTTGCAAAGTAGCCTGAAAGCATAAATCACAGCAAAAAAGCTAACCACTCTACTGCAGCATTTACTCTGACCACTGATTTACTTCTTAGTATAATTCAAAGCATTTACCCATCTTTAATAGTTAAAGCCCCTGGTTTTCTTAGAGATCTCAATTTTTTGTATAATAAACAAGGCATGAAGACCAGCAACTCTCTTTCTACTCAAGTGACTCTCTCTAGGAGATGAAGATAAAGCTTCTGAACCAGCCCTGCTGTGCACGGAAAGCAGGATCCCACAAGGCTGACCACAGTTTGAATCCTAGTCCCATGGCTTAAAAAATATGCCAGACACATGTGCTTGCTTGCCCAAAATCTCAATGAATGAAAAAATGGAGAAGAAATTACAGGTGTGACCATGTCCCTTCTGGGGAAAGATTCTTCTCTCTTGCTCAAGTGCCCATGTCCTCTGGCAATAAAAAAATCAATCAATTAATTAATTAATTAATTAATTTTTTAAAAAAAGCATTAGTAGGGAAGAAATTCTTTTAAAATAGTATTGAAAATGTTCTAAGGAACTGAGAAAAATAAGTCTCCAATTTAAATAGGTCCATGAATACCCAACATAGTAAGGTCTCCAGAAATGTCAAAGAAAAAGAGAAACATCACATTCAGGAGAGATCAAGAATCACAATAACAGGACCAGCAGATGGCATAATGGTTATGTCCCTGTACTCCTATGCAGTCGACTGCAGTTCAAATCCCGGACCAGCGGCTTAAACTCATGCCGGGCACATGTGCATGTGTGCCCAAGATCCTGAGAGGAGAATGGAGGAGAAGGGATTGCGGTGTGACCATCCCCCCACCCGCCCTGTGGTGGTAGGGTGTGATTTCTCACTTTCTGTCTCTGTCTTTCTGGAGAGCACACATGCCCTATAGCAAAAACTTCTCCAAAAAAGAAAAAGATCAGAATAACATCAGACCTTTCAAGAGAGATAACTGAAGTAGGAGGCAATTCTCTTTTTTCTTTCTTTCTTTTTTTTTTTTTTTTTTTGGGCGGGG